AAAATTCCAGAATTTTAGTCCTACTAAAATAACCAAGGGCAGATTCGTAATTTGTATTGTATTGGTGCAGGTCTTGTTGACACATTGGTTGCTAAAACTCGAACATGGGAAGAAGAGCATGGATTTACTTTTGCTTATGATGGTGTTCCACTACTTGCCATGTTGGACGAATATGCAGTGCTGAGGCATGATAGAGAAGAAGAAAAAAGAAGGATGAGGGTTAGTTTTGTAATTTCACTTAACGTTTTAGGGCTAAAAGTTAATTGTATTTGTATGTAACAGGATCAGAAGAAATTCCATGAACAACTGAACACAGAGCAAGAAGCCATGTTTGGTTCAAAGCCAAGCCCTGCACGCCCGCTAAGTAGCACGAAGAAGGTGGTGGGCCCGGGGTCACGAGGTCTTAATAGACGGTTGTCTTTGAATCAAAATGGGGGTGGGGGTAAATCGGTAAATAGAGATGTGAAAAGGGATGTCCCGAGGCCCGTAGCACCTTTGAACTATGTTGCTATATCAAAAGAGGATCCTGGTCTATTTACACCGTGAAGGTTGTTTAAATAAGTGAAATAGAAATATATATATAAAAAAATTATATATACATAATGGGTATATTTATGATGTAAGTTATTGGGGGGTTTATGTGGTTGATGCTTTAATATTCGTTCATAGTTCTGATTAGCTAAGACGATGCTACATATAATCATGGGGTGTCCATTGGATTTTTTTAGTGATGATATTTATTTTTTAGATGAAAAACCAAATCAATTAATATTTATATCGTTGTAGAGACTAGAGAGTAATATCTTTATAATTAAAATAAATAATATACATGCTTAGATAATATTATTCTTATTCATAACCCAACTAGATAATCAATTTTTATTTTCAGCAATTAGTTTTGTCACCTCAATATGGTGGACAAACATAAGTTTGTATCCTAGAGTTGCAACTTGCAATTGCTGATTAATGTGATAACCTGCATGGTTTTTGTGATGCATAATATTTGCCCAAATAACCTAAAGGTTGTGTGATCTGTTGGGTACTTGGGTTATTTACTTATTTCATTACGGATGCACCGATATTTTTTTTTTCTTCTTTTTCTGTTGTATTTGAAATTTGTTATAATTTCCTTCTTTTCTTTGTATAGGTGGATCTACTCTTAGAAAAAAATTGGGTATATGACACCACCTTTAGGAATCTCCTTTCTTTTAAGTATAAAGAAAAATTATAATTTATAAAGGAAATATAGATGATAGCTCTCAATTTCAGAAGAGTCACCGTAGTGATCTAAATATCAAAATCCAACAAAAAACCTAAAATCTTAATTATCATAATCTAAATAAACCTAAAATTTTAATAATATCTGACTGTATCAAAAAAATTATAAAATCGATAAATAAAAAAAAAAAACAAAATAAGTATCAAATATGTAATCCTAAAACTTTGAAATTAAATGCAATTAGACATTTAGTCCCTCTTCTGTCTTTTTTTTAATATTATACTCAGAATCGTTTACTTATTTCCTCTTTTACTTTAATTTTATTTTTTTAAACGACTTTCACATTAAATATTTTAGCTTCTTTCAATTTGTTTTTTACTATATATTTTTAATTACAGTTTTTTTTATTTTTCTATATTTTTTATTAAATTAATTGTCAACATTAGTCCAATCACAATAATTATTATAATCCTTTAATTTTGTGCGTAGATCATAATATTTTTAATCGTATAACTAATTTTTTTAAGAATAATATCTGTATAGCTTGGATCATATTATTGGATGTATAATTCCATTTTTGAACCACAATACATATGAAATAAAATTCTTATTTTTTTGAAAATAATATGATCCGAAATAATTATGGTTGAAAATGTTTATGATCTTTAAATCGTTATGATATATATTACGTTACTTAATCGTACATTTATTATTCAAAATTATATAATTTAAAAATCGTTATGATGCAAAATAATATGATCCAAACTATTATTATGAACCAAAGTCTATGTGAAAAGACTTTATTTGGTTTGATGTTATTTGGTTTTTGGAAATGATTTGATCCGGAAATATTATAATTGCAAATATTTACAATTTTTTGAGTTAGTTACTAACAATCAATGGATCGGGTAAGCTGTTGTGTCAATCACAGCTGACCGAGTCGGCCCTTTTATGAGTTTACCAAACGGGTTGAGTGGACCTGAGTCTGCCCAAAATTGCTGACCGGACCCGGTCAACCTTATATCAAATAGCCACTAAAACTTACAAAAAGAAAAAACAACATTTAGGACTTAGTATGTGGGTTTTCTCTAAGCCTGGGGACTACAACCGTAAATTACTTCGAATTTGCGATACGCGTCGAGGTCATCAATCTTGTTATTGCGTAGAGTAAGCAACTCCAACATCGATCAAAACCCTTGTCGTCCGCTTCCCATTGACATCGTTGAACGTAAAAATGGCGAACGAGAACGAACCAGCGAAGCTACTGTTACCTTACCTTCAAAGAGCCGATGAATTGCAAAAGCACGAGCCTCTCGTCGCCTACTACTGTATTGATTCTTCTTCATCATCTCACAATTTTACTCTAAACCCTAATATTCTCTCAACCTTCTCGATTCAGTAATTAAGTTGTGGTTTATTGGGAAATTTTGATTTTCAGGTCGATTATATGCGATGGAACGGGGTTTGAAGATCCCTTCGAGTGAACGTACCAAAACCACTAGTTCCCTACTCGTTTCCCTCATGAAACAACTTGAAAAGGTCCGAATTCTTCTTTTAAGACGCGTATTTCTTTCGAAGTTAACGGTTTAAGATAGTTCGTTGTTGATGACTTAATTTTGAATAGTCAGTATGTACTTTGTACGCTGTATTAAGTTTAAGATGAATGTTTTCTTGAGACATTGAAGTAATATTCTATGTCAAATATTAGGTGATTCTGTTTTCTCTGAGTATCAAAATCTTCTTTGTCCTTCATCTAGTTTGCTTCTTCATTTACAGGATAAGAAGTCATTGCAGTTGGGGCCTGATGATCATCTTCACCTTGAAGGATTTGCTTCAAATGTCTTCGCAAAGGCCGATAAACAAGATAGAGCTGGGAGAGCTGATCTGTATGAATTTTTTTTCTTCTTATGAATTATGATACATCAATGTTAACACTAGTTTGCTGTTAGAAACTAAAGATTATACAAACTACATATGAGATTTTGTGCTCAAGATAAACAAGATTAGTGTTGATTTTGATTAGAATACTAATACTTATCTGTAAACCTGTTGCAGAAATACAGCAAAGACATTTTATGCTGCAAGCATTTTCTTTGAAATCCTTAACCAGTTTAGTGAAGTCCAACCTGATGTGAGTCAAGTTTCTATTATCATTGGTTTATCACCATTTTTACTTGCTTTCTTATTCTTGATGATTGAGAAATGACAAAAAAAAAAAGGAAATAAATGTTGATGAATCATAAACTCATAATTGGTTTATTATTAAATAGCTTGAGCAGAAGCAAAAATATGCAGCATGGAAAGCAGCAGATATAAGGAAAGCTATTAAAGAAGGAAGGAAGCCTATACCGGGCCCCCCTGGTGGTGAAAAAGATCTCTCAGATACATCAGGCAGTGGATATGTAAGTCATTCTTGCAAAATCTAAAGGAATTGGAATTTCGGATTCCATTCCATCGACGGAATTCAATTCCATTCTTACTTTTTCTTAACTGAATGACCAAAATACCCTCATTATATGTTTTACTGAAATAAATAAAAAAATCAATTATTGGCAGGACATGGAACCAACCACCAGACATGCACCAGAATCTCATCCTTCATCCCAATTATACGACAGAAGTGATTCCCAAAAGTTCACAAATACTTTCGCATCACCGCCACGTGACCCTCCACCACCGCCACATTCCACCATGCCGCCGCCGCCTTCTTCAAACACTCAACCACCACCGCCCTCAAACTTTCCTCCACCATCTTCAACCATCCAACCACCCTCAAATTTCCCTGCACCGTCTTCCACCGCCCCTCCGCCACCGCCCACCTACTCCTCCGACGACTATCCATCCAACAGTTTCCATTCCCACAACACAGGAGGAGATAATTCAAATCCAACTTATTCTCATCAGAATTATCACCACCAGCCCTCATCTTTCCCACAAGAACCCCAACATCAAAATTACCAACATGACCCTTCGTACACATTCCCGAATTTCCAATCTTACCCTAGTTTTTCCGAAACTGCCCTTCCAGCAGTAGCCCCAGGTCATTACCCGTCATCATACTATCAGGGGGGGTCTGATGCATCAGCAGCAGTTACAGCTACAGGTGGTCAGTACAAAGTGAGTGGTGGAAATGGGGGGGTTCCAGTACATGGAGGTGCAGGGAGCTCTGGTGGACAGGCGGCGGCGTATGAGTATGACAGCAGCAGTTATCAGCCTCCGGCTGATAAAATTGCAGAGGCACATAAGGCTGCAAGGTTTGCTGTTGGAGCATTGGCGTTTGATGATGTTTTTGTTGCTGTAGATTACCTTAAAAAATCTCTTGAATTGCTTACTAATCCAAATGCTACTGTTTGATTGATTCATCATCAATCGTGAATCAGAATCTGTTTGGAATGTGGATTTCAACCTTTTGGTTTTATTCTGTTTGCTGTAAAAAGTTTAGATTTGATTTTTTTTCTTTCCCTTTAAACATTGATTCCAACTACGTCTACATGTGGGTTTATGATGTATGCGATTTGTGTTGCGGAAAAGCTCGTGGAAATGCTCTTGATTTGTGTTGCGGAAAAGCTCGTGGAAATGCTCTTTGAAAGCTATTTCGAGTAGTGTTGAAAAATGTTTTTGTATGTTATAGCAAAATTACTGTGTTTTCATTAAATTAATTACGTATCTAATAACATTTATTTAATGAATAGACCTTTTAATAATATAACAACAAATCTAATATCTTATTTTTTAATAGTGTAATTGTTTTTTTAAACAAACATATTAGCAATAAACAATATAATAGAAATGTAAGCAATAATTAACTGATCAATTTATCTGGTATATGTTTATCAATGACCATTGCCTACTTTATTCAGAGCCACTAAGACGCATTCAAAGATCACATTTGTATTTACATTCGACAATTAACCTATAGCATTTATCGAAATCACTAGATTTCCAAAAAAAAAAAAAAAACAATTCAAATTAGCTTGTAATGACAGGACCATATTTAGGGGGTAAAGCTTTCCTTTTCCCATTGGTGATTGATAAACATTTTACACAATGCCAATCTTGCCACTTGTCACTTGAAAATGATTTTGGGATATAGTGTAGACATTTTAAGTGGTACCCTTTTTCACATGCATCACATACGAGTGTTGTATCCACTTTGGTAATTGTGGTTTTGCAAGTTTGACAAGTCAAAGGCTTGTTCATGTAGTCCCTTGAAGGAGGAGTCCATTTCTGTTGCTCTGTTATCTGTGCTTGTAATATTTTCTCAACAAATTTACTAATTTCTTTGTGGGTAATTGGTGCTCTATGATCTGCAAATGATGGAAATTTTGGATGAAAAAACTTAAAAATAGAGAAAGTAGAAACGTAGTAGTAAAGATTAAGTATTCTTTGAGGGTGTCTAGAATCTAGATGTGTATTTTGAAAGTGATTATGTGATAATGAGTAAGCAGAATCAAATAATCGGTTGTAATAACATATGTTGCTGAAAAATGTAATAATCATTTTTAATAGTGTTGAGTATTTATACTAACAATTAAATATTTCATCAGATCTTAGATGTGGTCTCCCAGATCTTAGACTCGGTAGAATGCCTTCCAAGATGACTGCAAGTGGGCAATTGATATGGTAAAGTTCTCGAATTTGAAACTGGGGAAGCATGAAGAACTGTTGAATGATGATGCAATCCTGAAGATGAATTGGGTGGGTGATCTGCTTTATTTGATGGAAAAGCTCCAACAGCATGTGAAGTAGCAGAGTGTAATGGGAACACCTCATATTTTTCCATCTGATTCGGAATGCAATGACAAGAAAAGAGTATAAGCTACAAATTCGAAAGAATCAGTAATGATTGATTAATTCGCAAACAATAAAGCATCACCTTTTGTTTTGTATGTAGTAATTTCTCAGAAATTGACAACTTTGGAGGACGAATACCTAATTTTGTTTCCGTCAATCAGTTCAGAAATTGACAACTTTGGAGGACGAATCCCTAACTTTGGAGCAAGATCTTCAATAATCGTCCCAAAAGCGTCCTTAGGGAAAACATATTTTGGCGCAATTTTTTTACAAACGTCAGCCAACTTCTCAATCGCCTGTGCCATCATCTTAATCTACACCGGCGTAGGGTTCCTACCAGCTCTCAGTTTCCCGATTGTAGCCAACACAAGCACTATCTCCGCCACCTTCTTCACATTAACCCTCTGTCGGACCTCACCACATACTCTAACCTTCTTGTTACACAAATCGCTTTTGACACCTTCCTCCAACGGTCTCTTCTCGCCTAAACTATTGGGTCGCACCTCCGATTGATCCATAGACTCGTCCACCGCTGTCTCACCCACTGATCTCAAACCAAAACGCTTAAAACTCGTGTTTCCGCAGTTTCGAGGTGAAATCGACTGGGAAACCCCGGATTCTTGGTCAGAAACCGGCGTGATTGAAAGAGATTAGATGTCATGACTCATGAGAAAGGGGAGCTGAGAGAAAACCCTGTTGATGGAGAGGTTTATGGTTTGAAACTGAATACCTTTTATCGGGTAATTGAGGGTGAGATGAATGCGGGGGAACAAAAGGAAAAGAAATGCAAAAAATAATTCAAAATGATGATAGATAACATGGCCAACCTGAATGCTACATTGGATGATATGGATTCGATAATTGTTGGATTTGAATGGTTGATGATGGTTGGAACTCTACTATTCAATTTCAAGAGAGATAAAACTTTGAGATAATCGATAATCAAGTCTTACATACTAATAATTTTGCTTTATTTATTACTGGCAAAGCCTTATTTATAGACTCTTAAAGAGTTGGTTACACACGAAACATTTATATTATTGCAATCGTATGATTGCAAAAGGACAAACTATAATTCACACCAAAAGAAAAAGAAATGCAAAAAATAATTCAAATGATGATACATGAGATGTTGAACCTGAATACTGCATTGGATGATGTAACATTCATAAAATTTCATAAAAATTTAAGCTTTTCAAACCAATCCCAAAATTATCATTGTTTACATTGTAGTTTTAAAAACATGATTAACATCTGAGTTTTTTCCAAAATCACAACATAACAGGAGGAGGTGAACGATCAAGTCTTTGCTTTCCCATGATCATCAGAGGTATCTGAAACATAACCCAAACCGTAAGTCCAAAACTTAGTGAGTTTATCTCAAAGTACCAACACAACAAACAACATATATACAATAGCAACATACTATGGGCCTAATCAACCATCGGGTTGGAATACAACAGTCTCTCAACCATCGGGTTGGAATGCCAACATATTATGGGTCCAAACAACCATCGGGTTCGAATATCCTAGACCCTCAACCATCGGGTTGGAATGCCAATGTACTATGGGTCCAATCATCATCGGGATGGGAATACACTCGGGCCCATTCAACCATCGGGTTGGAATGCCCTGGCCTGTTGGCTTACGCACAAAGCAATGAAGTCTCAGCCGCCGACCAAACATGTACATATAATACATATAATCATATAACAGTCTACAGCCAAACAAACAGATCTACAAATCACTAATCATAACATTATCCTATATACCGGGATACTTACCTAACATATCACTACAACATAAAGCATGCATAATAGGGTATCAAATTCAAAGGACCGGCCTTGGTGCCTTAGACCCATTAGTACAGTGAGGAAAACTCACCTCACAAGTAGCACATAACTAATAAGGTCCAACTCCGAATCTCAGCTCACAACTCAAAAGCCCACAACCACCAATTCACCAATTCCATCAAGGCCCAAATACCAAAAATACCCCAAAAGTCAATGTAACACCCATAATCAGAAAGACCAATAAAGGAAAGGAAAACCCTAAGATAAAGGTCCAACTCGTCGAGTCCAAGGAGGAACTCGACGAGTCCGAGCGGGATCCGGGTCGAGGAGTAAGTGACCGACTCGGCGAATCGAAGAATGGACTCGGTGAGTCCGGTCTGAAGAGGAAACCCTAAATCCGGGACTTTGTGCACTATTTAAGCACCTCATTCTCTTCCTTAGGGTTCCTTTACAACTCCCCTCATCCTACACATCGAACCCTAGCCACCATATCCGTTTTTGAGCAAGATCTAGCCTTGGTGTTGTGATTTGAAGCTTGGAAGAGAATGAAGTTCATAGTGGTGCAAGAGGAAGCCTTGGATCCAGTGTTGGTGTGACTTTTCAGAGCATTTGAAGGTAAGAAGTCATTACCTTCACTCCTTTGCTCATAGTTTCCTTTTTGTTATGAGATTTGGGGCTTTTATGCAATGTCCTAGAGCCAATTGGAGTTAGAAGTCCAGATCTGAAGTTGCTACTTTAGATCTAAGTGTATTGGGGGTGTAGGTGAAGCATGGTTGTCTTAAACCCGAGTATGGAGTGTTTTGGGCCTAGATCTCCTTAGCTACACGTAAAGTTTGAAACTTTACGTGAGGAATAGACCTTGGAAGAGTGGATCTACAGTTTGGAGTCCCCGCATGACTCAAAAAGCCTCTGAATGCATGAAGGACTGAATAGACTCGGCGAGTCCTTCGAGTGGACTCGGCGAGTAGTATGAAGATTAAAAGGAACTCGACGAGTTAGATGAACAACTCGGCGAGTCTGTTGAAGTTTGCCTTGGACTCGGCGAGTCTGGTCGCGAAACCCCGAACCCTTCGAGTTAAGACACGAATCAGTGAGTCGAGTGGAGACTCAGTGAGTTGGATAAGACAGGACTCGGAAATCGGTGGACTCGGCGAGTCGAGTCGCGAGTGGAAGGACTCTGAGCATATGAACTCGGCGAGTCAGTAGGCAGACTCGGCGAGTAGGGTTGACCTGGAAGGTTGAATTTGACTAGGACTTTGACTTTGTCCAGAGTTGAATTAGTTGACTTTTGGAGGACAGTTAGACTAAGTGTTATATTGGTATTGATAGCTCGGGGAGCTAGTGGAGCCGCAGTTCAGAAGAGTTGTCGGGCAGCAGCAGAGGGGTTTCAGCAAGTTCAGCAAGTGAAGGTGAGCTGTGTGAATGGGTCTAAGGCCACAATGCCGGCCCATGTAGTTATGAGTAGAAGACCCGGGGGTTAGCCCTAGGCACAATATGCTAGTATGATATTCAGGACGAGGTCCAATAATAGCGGGCGGGTACCCAAGGAAGTGTTCATGTGATAGTTTATACTTGTTGTCTGTGTGATACTTGTATGTGCCTGGTAGGGAGGTGAGTGTGGGCGAGGTTCCGTATCTCACCAATAGCAGGGTGTGGATGGTGTTCCACATCTCATTAGCATCAGATCAGGGGCGAGGCCCAAGCTAGGGAAAGAGTGAGTGTGGGCTGGGCCCGAATCTCACTACCAGTAAGGGGAATGGATGGGGTTCCATGACTCATAAGTAGCAGGAAAAGGGCGAGGCCCAGGATAGGCGAGGCCTTAGGACAGGATCCATTAGTATATGTTTAGCTTATGTGTTGTGATATGTTTATGTGCTATTATATGTTAGCGGGGGAGGCCCTGTGACAGGCGAGGCCTAAGTGAAACAGATCTGTATGCGAGTGGGGCTCGAAGCCAGACGAGGCCTGGAGCGGGGGGGCCGTTGTAGCGGGCGAGGCCCGAGGTAGGGGGCGTGGCCCAGAATAGCAGGCGTGGCCCAGTATGTGCAGTATATGGCTATGCATGATATGTGGTAGGTTGGGGAACTCACTAAGCTTCGTGCTTATGGTTTTCAGTTTTGGTTTCAGGTACTTCCGGTAGCGGAGGGAAGAGCTCGGGGTGATCGCATGGCACACAGCACATATTAGACAGCCTGGGAATGTTTTACTCTGATAAAGAACATATGTTTTTGTCACAACCTAGAATTTTTTGTGCCTTGTAGATTACAACAATTAAGCCAAAGTATGAATCAAAGAGTCAAGAGCATGTATGATGCATACTCTATGACAATAAAATTTCAAACAAACACCCCATGCAAGCATTTCAAGTAGTCAATAAGCAACTGGAAACCCTAGAAGTCCTTGTTTAAGTCCATTTTGGACTAGGACTTCCTTATTGGGCCCAATGGGCCAATATGCTTCCAATTTTGACTATTTTGGGCTTAGAACTCTTAAATGGGCTCTAATTGGACCCACTTTCATTTATTTTAACATTTTGGGCCATAATGGGCCTAGAATGAAATAAAATACCCTTATTGGTCCATACAAATCTAATTAATCTAAATGGGCCATAAAACCCATTATTTTTGACAAATTGGGCCGTAAGCCATAAAGGAGCCCAATGGGCTGAAAAATAATTATTGGGCCTCATAAATTATAAACCAAGGGAAGGATTTGGACCAAGCCACTTCATCCTTTCTCCTAGTCCAAGGTTCTCGGCCCAACACAAAAAAAAAAAAAAGAGATTAATTAGAATTAAACCTTGACACATCATTATTGCTCAAAGGATATCAAGGTTTAATACATTACATACATCTAGGGCATGTCATGTTCCTATGAAACTTCTCTTCCCCCCCTCTCTTCTTATGATCGGCCGAGAGCCAAACCACACACACACACACAACATCAAAACTCTTCCAAACTCTCTCAAATATTCTCCTCCTTCCCACTCCAAAATCTCGAAATTTTGCTTGTGCATCAAGAGGATTTCAAGAAAATATCATCACTTCTTGGTAAGTTATACATATCCAAGGATTTTATAACTCTTTTCTCATGATTAGATCCCTTCTCTTAAACATTTGTGGTAATCATACTCTTAGAATCACCTCAAGTTCGAGATCATCATCAAGGTGTTGCTAGGGCCGAAAATCACCCCACTTTCTTCCATTTCTTCTTCAAAACCGTGACCAACAAGAAAAGGTGAGCTTCATACCCCCTTATTTTCGGTTTTTATAAGTTTTGTGGGGGATAATACAAGCAAATGTGTAGATCTATGAGTAAATGTATGCCTTGTGTGATTTTTATACTTATATGTATGATTTATGTGATTTGTGATGTTTATGTTAGCCCAAAAGAACCTAAAAACTGAGAACTACAATATGAGGAGTGAAATAAGTATAACTTATACCATTTCATACTAATCAAGTCTAGAATAAGAGTTTAGTTGGCTAAAATGAACATTTTTGGACTTAAAACCCATTTTTGGGCTCAAAATGTCAAAAATACAAAACTAAGGGGCCCAAAACAACAAAAGATAATTTCTGGAGGCTGAAACAAGTCCAAACAGTTTTTAAGATAATTTTTCTGAATAAAAACACTTTGGAAGGGCTTAAAATGTGAATTTTAAACATAATGGGCTAAAAATGGGATTTTCGGCCCAATAAGCCCAAATTGCGAAAATTTCGAAATATAGGGGCTGAAAATGCAAGTTCTGTAAAACAGGGGACTACAAGTGTATTGAAATTATTTTGAAGGTCAAAAATGCTTTTCAAATTCAAAAGGGATCAAAAATGCAAAAATTTTCCATTTTGAGCCAAAATTGTAAAGATTGCGAAAAATGGGGGTTCCAACCGAGAAAACCTCATTTTGAAGGACTTAAGCTGTTTATTAAGTAAATCTTGGCTGAAAATGTCTTTTTCAATAAGTTTTGATGCTAAAGTGTCAAGAAAAATGGTTAGGGACTAAAATGGAAATTCTTTTATATAAAGGGTTAAAAGTGTATATTTTATCCAAGTAGGGTCACAAAAAGGTAAAACTTTTACTTATGAACAAATAAATCCCATTAGATAAAATACGAGCACTATGACTACCGGTGAAACGTAATTTCAAATACACCTTCAACACCAATATC